TACTGAGAAGCAGTGACTCCAGAGACGCCAGAGACGGAGACAGAGATGGGGACATGGAGAGAGGGAGAGGCTGAGGACTCCAGATTCATGGGAAGAGAGGGACTAAGAAGAGCAGGTGGCCAGGAGGCAGACTTGCAGAATATGCCCTTTGGAGGTATAAATTATTATATATGCCTGAGTGGTTTGTTTTGTTTTTTTAAAAAAAAACTAGAAATACTTTTAACTAATGGTACATGGAGGGGATTGTAATCATTGTAATGAAAGAAGGCGTATGATTTGTTGACTGTAAATCTGATGGTCTGCCTGTTAACTTTTACTCAATCCACAATAAAAACCTTAGAAAAACAAGTTTGTGGAAAACATGCCATTGTCTTTTTTTTTTTTTTAATGTTTTATTGTGAATTATATGATAGTTTACATGGGAGAACTTTAGTTTTACATTCATTCCATCGTATATCATCTCATTGCCATGGTTCCAATCCCCTCCATGCATCATCAACCACCCAAAGGGTATATCCCAGAAACCCGCCCCCTATACCATGCCATTGTCTTTAAACTACATTTTTCCACAAACTTTTTTTGAGATGCCTTTGTATAGTACATATAACATAAAATGTGTGTTAGTTGACTTTATATGTTATTGATATGGTTTCTGTTCACAGGTTATTAGTTAAGTGTTTGGGGAGTCAAAAGTCATACACAAGTTTTCTATTGAGTCGGGGTTGGGTGCCCCAACCTCTGTGTTCAAGGATCAGCTGCTAATTTCCCCCTCTCCTTCTTATTTTAGGAGTATTGGTATGACACTGTAGAATGAGCACTGGATTGCTAACAGCAAGGTTGGCAGTACAAACTCACCAAGCAGTCCTTGGAAACCCTCTACAGGTTCGCTGTGAGTTAGAACTGACTCGGTGCTACCTAACAGCAGCAACAACATCAAGAACTCTCACATAAGAGGTAGTACCCTATTTGTACTGTTAGGCATTTGTCACTTAGAATTTTTGCACAGCTTTCTATTTCACTAGAGTTGTATCACTTTTCAGCACGTTGTACAGCATTTTATTACACTGGTGTGTTGCTGTAGAATGAGCACTGGACTGTTAACTGCAGGGTCGGTGTTTCAAACCCACCAGCTGCTCAGTGTAAACCCTGTATAGGGTTGCTATGAGTCAGAATTAACAACAAGAAGTTGGAATTGACATGAAAATAAGTTTTAGTTTTTTATAGTATTACATTATACAAATGCATCACAGTTTATTAATCATTCTAATATTGGTGGCCATTAGGGTTTCTTCTTGTTAGTTGTAACATATTATGTTGAAAAATGGCCACCTCTGTATTCTTGTTCTTACATTGCTTTTGAGATTCTCCAATTAGTGGAAATGCCATATTATAGAATATGAGCATTAAAGTTGTGATTTGTTTATGTGATTGATATTGTTAAGTGCCATTGAGTTGATTCTGACTCATAATGACCCTGTATAGGGTTTCTAAGGAGCAGCTGGTAGGTTTGAACTGCCGACCTTGTGGTTCACAGTCCAGTGCTGATCCTACAGTGTGGCACAGATGGTACAAATTGCTTTCCAATAAGGTAGTGGTGATATTCCCTTCTAACCATTTATGTGGCAGTTTTGCTTGTTTCCTCACATGCTCACCAACAATCATATAACTTTTGTGTTTAAGGCTTAGCTAGAATTTTGCTTTCCAGTGGAGAACTGTTAATACCAGTTGTCATTGAGTTCATTTTGATTCGTAGTGCCCTCATGTATGTCAGAGCAGAATTGTGCTTCATACGGTGTTCAGTGGTTCATTTCTCCAGGTAGATTGCCAGGTCTTTCTTGTCAGGCGCCTCAGAAGACTTGGACTGTGATTTTCAATTAGCAGCCAAGTGCACAATGGAGAGCCATGGTGGTGGTGGCTGTGTGACGTGAAGTCGGTTCCGACCCATAGTGACCCTGTACAGGGTTTCTGAGGCTGTAAATCTTTACGGGAGCAGAAAGCCTCATCTTTCTCCCGCAGAATAGCTGGTAGTTTCAAACTGCTGACCTTGTGGTTCGCAGCCCAATTCATAACCACTACGCTACCAGGGCGCCTTAGTGGAGAGCCATAGAAGGTCTTTAATCAGGAGATGAAGGACACGATCACATCTTTGTTTTACAAGTATCACTGGTGACAGTCTTGAGTAACTGATGTCAGCAAAGCAAGGACTTGAAGGAGAGGACAGTAAGAAAGAGTAAAGGGATTGGATTTCAGAGATACTGAAGAAACCGAATCTGCATGGTTTGAAAATGAGTTAAGAAAGAGGAGGAACACAGCTCATTAGATGTTCGTTATGAATGACTATCAGAATAGTGATATTAATCTAAGGAGGGCTAGTTTATTTGGGAACTGAGGAAAGATGCTCTGTTCTGTCTTCGATATGTTAATTCATGTGAAAGCTGTTCTTATGAAGAATGAGTTATACACAAAGACATAAGATCGGTCTGTGACAGATTCAGGAGAAAGCCTCACAGATTATGACTCTAGTTAATGCTGCATATATTTTCACTTTTCTAAAAGTCTGCCATTAGTAGAATTTTTTTGGACTTTCTGTGATTTGTTCAGCCTTGTTTACTATGGTGTTAAAAATTTCAACAGAGTGTATTGTCTAGAAAGAGTAGTCAAATTTTTTGATGGTGTATGTCATCAATAAAAAATATTTGGGCATGTGCCTTTAATATATGTATACTTCACATTGATTTGTTCTGTATTGTATTAATATGTACATTCTAAATCATGTAAAAGTGGAAATTTTAAAATGCTGAAACAGATATAAATGGGAGCTTTTCTATTTTCTTTTACCATCCTGTTGGATCACCTTATACCCCTCTTTAGATAGTGCTGGCCTGATGTACAGCTGTCAGTGTTCTATCCAGTTGTCCAGTAGAGGTCACTCTTGAGCATCTGGAACAGAGAACAAGCTGGTGAGTATTCTTTAGCTAGAAGGAGGCTTTTATTAAGTTTCTAAATTTATGTAATTTGAAAGAGTGTGTAGTATATAGAGTAGTATGTGGTTTTATGAGAATAGTGAAGTCCATAGTGTATCAGACAATCTAGAATGTACTTTTGTTGCTTAGTGAACAGGGCTTTGCACTGGTTTCAATTGCTTCATTCATGGCTGACAAAGCAAAATTGGAACAGATCAGAATTTTAAAAATTTGGGTGAAGCAGAATGATAATCATTCAGAATGGAGAACTTAGCATCAAAGCTCTGGAATGGGTGAGCCCTCTTAGGAGCCTGATGTGGGAGACTGGCATGGTCAGCTGTCTTCTTTGAACCAGGTATTGTTGTTTTCGATGCTGACATTAAGGATATTTGGTTGCTTTGCAACACACATGCTGCTGGAGTTTCTAAGAGGGAGGTTATGTTTCTAGTAGAGCATTGACCTGTAATTTTTCTGGTTTCAGCAATAGTTCTGGTTCATCTACATTTTACAAATTCTGGTTCGTTCTGAATTTGCTTCATTGGTCATGAACTGGGAAGAAGAACTGGTTTGAAGTCCTGATTGTGAGTGTCCTGCATTTTTACTTAAATGTTATTGAGTCTACAGTTTTAGAATCTTCCAAGTTTTTTTGAGGATCTCTATACTATGTGAGCTGCAGGAATGTTCCTAGCCCATAAGCATAATTCAAGTTCTTATTACAATTGGAAACAAAGAGGCTTTCTTTGAAATTGATCTTGAAAGCAGTGTCCTAAGCCCAGAGATGATAGTGGTGGGATGGAACCATCTATCTATTTTCTATATCATGCTTAATTGTTATTGTTGTTAAGTGCCATGGAGTCAGTTCTGACTCATAGAGACACTGTATAGGGTTTCCAAGGAGTGCCCGGTGAGTTCAAACCAACCTTGTAGTTCAGTGCTTTATCCCGCAGTGCCACACCAGAAGAGGGGAAAATGGAGTTCCCCACTTAAGTCAATAGGAGCCTGTTGTAAGTAGTTAGAAATCAAGTGCTGACTTTGTCACAATATTCTGAAAAAGAGAAAGTACACTTTAAAAAAATATATGGATGCACATTTTATGCCCCATTTTATACATTTTTTGCCCCATTTTTAAACAATCAAGAAAAAGTGAGATTTTAGGGGCTTGCTAGAAATTATATATGTTGTGAAAGGCACAGACAGCCCTGAGTGGGGGGAAGTGATCTTTATGTTTTTATTGTTTTTGTCCATTTCTCAGTAGAGTTCCATATATTATGAACTGTGTGGATTAAATATCACAACTTGATCAGGTTGAAGATGAAAGTTGGTTTAAAGTTGTTGGATTATAACCGAGAGATCACATAGGGTAAACTGAGTGGGACAGAGATTGGAATCTCCATCTGTCAAGTCAGAGGTCTTTTTGAACTAAGAATTAAAACTCTAATGAAAGCAGAGGTTTAAAAGGGGCCACAAATAGGAAAAGGTATTTAAAATGGAAATTAGGTAGTCTGAGGTCAGGGTTAAGTTTAGATTTGGAAAACTGGTAGGTCAGAGCAAGGAGAGACAAGAGCAAACAGACATAAGGAAGTCATATCTGTGGGCAGGGCCACAGACTGAGATCTGGAGAGTTGGAGCACAAAACAATTGACAGTACCAGTTAATAGGAATAAGCTAAAGGTTTGGAAACAAAGAACACAAAGCAGAGAGGGAGAAGGATAGACAGCTGGTTTTAGGTGACAAAGACAAACAAAGTTCTTTATTCTCTATGAATAAAACCGCAAGATAAGGGTAGGAATAATTCTGTAGCAGTGATAATGCCATCCTGCCGCCATTTATGCCAAGAGTAGGAGCAGACCAGGGCCACAGGTAAAATCAGAAACAGTGTATTAAGGAGTGGAGTGGCTCCACATCACCAGGAGAAAGGGAGCCAAAGGCATGGTCTTTTCAGAAATGGTCACAAGGCTTGTAGGATCATAGTACAGTCATTTAGCTGTTTAACATATCTATTTGTTTAATATTATATATGTTGTTTTACACAGCGTTCCAAAAGGCTTGAAGCATTATGGCAACAAGAAACCTCTTGTGTATGAGAAGTAACTTTCTCCTTGGTTCAAGATGCTGGATGATTCGATTTTCAACAGGAATCCTCTTCAAATCAGTTTCACTTAGGCTTTTTGGTGTGAAGTGTAATAATGCAGATGGTGAGTCTTTGGAGAAGGATGAGCTACTGAACAACTTACTTACTATGGGAGTAGATATTGACATGGCGAAGAAGCGACAGCCTGGAGTTTTTAATAGGATGGTTACTAATGAGCAGGACCTGAAGATGTTCCTTCTGTCCAAAGGAGCTAGCAGAGAAGTGATTGCTAGCATCATATCGAGATATCCACGAGCCATAACACGCACTCCTGAAAGTCTTTCAAAACGATGGGATTTGTGGAGAAAGATTATGGCATCAGATCTTGACATTGTAAATATTCTGGAACGTTCTCCAGAATCCTTTTTTCGGTCTAATAACAACCTAAACTTAGAGAATAATATAAAGTTCCTCTACTCAGTTGGATTGACCCATAAGTGCCTTTGCCGATTGTTGACCACTGCGCCACGTACCTTCTCCAATAGTCTTGATCTGAATAAACAGATGGTAGAACTTTTACAAACAGTCTGTTTGTCCTTGGGTCACAAAGAGCCCACAGAGTTTGTCAGAAAGATAATTTTAAAAAATCCTTTTCTTTTCATTCAAAGCACCAAACGGGTGAGAGCAAACATTGAGTTTTTACAGTCAACTTTCAACTTGAACAACGAGGAGCTGCTGGCTCTGCTATGTGGCCCAGGAGCTGAAATCCTGGACCTTTCCAATGACTATACCAAAAGAAACTACACAAATATCAAAGAGAAGCTGATTTCTCTTGGGTGTACTGAACAAGAGGTACAGAAGTTTGTCTTACGTTATCCAGATGTTATCTTCTTGGCAGAGAAAAAGTTTAATGATAAGATAGACTTCCTCATACAAGAGAAAATTAACATTTCACAAATAATTGAAAGTCCTTGGGTTCTGGGTTCAAGCCTAAGTACTTTAAAAACTAGAATCAAAGAATTGATAAATGCTGGCTATAACTTGAGCACATCCAATATCACTATTCTGTCTTGGAGTCTAAAAAGATACAAAGCTAAGTTGAAAAAGTTAAATGGATAGAATATTGCTCTGGGGAATTAACAAAATCTCATAGTATAGTCATATTGAATTTGGGCCTTTCATAAAGGATAAATACATGGTCTATGCTAATGATCTAAGAATACAACTTTCATGTGAAAACCTTGACTATAGGATCATTCTTGTTAGACTGTAATACCCCACATTTCACACCCAGAAGCATGACCTAATGGAGATCTGGGGGAAAATCTGTTGGTGGCCAAACCCTATCCACAAACTTTGATCAGCCGTTGTTATACAACCTGGAAAAGTCTGACACAAGTAAGCTAGGATAGCAAGATTGCATTAATAGAGAGATTTTGAGATGATTTCAGAAGCCCAGTTGTCCACAATTGGAGAAAGATGAGAGGAACTATGATTCTTCATTGACCTCCAGGAAGCATCTCTGGAGGGACTTGTTCCTGGGTCTGAATGGTCACTGGGTGATTTTGAGACTGGTGTTTTTAACTGGCCAACATATCCCTAGGCTAAGGCTGTTCAAACTCCTTAGTTTATACCCCATTAACTTGGGAACTGGTACAGGACTGAGATGTGATGGAATCAGTTTTGAGGATGTGAGGTAGGCACTGAAGGTGAATGTCATAACTAGGCCATTTTGTATCTTCTTACTTATTTTCTTGTTTTCCGTACATGGTGCTTTTGCCTCTTCACTTTTTTGTGGTCTGGTATATACCCCTTTGCTTTCAAATTTTTGTCCTCTCAGAGATTGCTAGAGAATAAAATGAAAAAACAAAACAAACCTTTTTTGGTGTTGTTATGATTTAAACCATGTTCTTGGTATACAGGGGCTTTTAGCCTTTGACTAATTTCTGTGGAATTTGGTATAGTGATAAAAGATCTGATAGAATTCCATTTTGTGTTTCAGTTTCAGTATTAATAACACAGGTGTTTGGGGTGCCCTTTCTTCATAGCAGTCTTGAGTGAATATTGATGAACTTACACACATGGATTGTTTTGTGTTCATTATTAACATGTTTAATATGATTGCATGAGAGTTCATCTACCTCCGTTGATTATGCTAGCGCCACCGTAACTAGCTCAGTGTACCTTTATGCTCACCATGATTGTCTTTCTTTTTGTATTTTACAAAGGAAATAAATTGTATTCTGTGATGTAACATGACTATTGAATGGTACAAAGAATAAAGTCTCAGCTAACCTGCTTATCTTTATGTTGAGAAAATTTTAATTTTTAGTTTACAAAAAGGTTTGTTTATATAAGTCGGGGTTTAATGATGTTTTAAAACCATTATCTCTTAATCTTCTAATGAATGGTTTCAGTAGGTTTTGTCTTATTAACCGTTTGTTTTACTGAGACCTATGAGTCAGTTTGAACTGCAGGATTGGTGGTTCAAACTCACTAGCTGCTCCTTGGAAACCCTATACGGGGTCGCTGTGGTTCGGCACTGACTTGATGGCACCTAAAAACAACAATCTTGGCTTTAAGAATCCCTGGTGACACAATGGTTGAATATCCCACTGCAAACTGAAAAGTATGGGGGAGGAAGTGCTTCTATAGATTTACAACCTTGGAAACCCTTTGGGGCTGTTTTACCCAGGGTCTTGATGTGGCGCTGTTAGATAAGCAATAAAGTCAGTGGTTCAAACCCATCAACTGCTCCTCAGAAACCCTACATAGGGTCACTATGAGTCGAAACTGACTCAATGGCACGTAACAAAAACAACAACATTGAGTTGCTATGAATCAGAATTGATTCGGAGGTTTGGTTAATGTTGGCATTAATACACTGCCGTGCTCAATTTGCTAATATTTTACTTAGCATTTTTCATAGTTCTATTGTTTTGGTAGGTCTGCCACTTTGTCAGGTTTGGGAATCAGGGTTGTGCTAGCCTCATGAGATTCATTTGGAAGCTTTTATTTTCCCCCCATGCTTTGGACCCACCCAGAAACTAAAAATGAACCGTTCTTTTCTAATTTGGCAGAACTTTCCTGTAAAAATAATTAGAGCCTGGTTTCTTGTTCAGGATAGAGCCTTGCCAGCATTGGATAGTTCTGAAGGCTTGCTTCAATCGAGAGTTTTGACCTGGATTTTCTTGGTGGATATCGATACACAATTCTTGTCCTAGTTAATGCATTTTGCTTTGACTTCTATGCTGATAATGTTGCTACGCTTTATGTCCATACAAAGACCTGTATACAAATGTTTATCCCAACTTGTAAAACTTCGAAACAACTGATGATACTTTAATATTGTGATATATTCATGTGGTGAATATTACTTAGCAATACAAAATACTGAACTATTCTATACTTGCAACAGCATGTAAGAATCCGAAGATAATTATGCTGAATGAAAGAAGCCAGATGAAAAAAGACTTCATTGTACATAATTCCATTTATATACAATTCTAGAAAATGTACACTCATCTGTAGTGACAGGATGCAAGTCATGCAAGTCAGTGTCTGGGGGCAGAGATGGGGTCAGGTGGGGAAAGCCAGGAGGCAGGAGCTACCAAGGAGCACAAGGAAATTTTTCAGGTGATATATAGATTCATTTTCTTGATTGTGGTGATGGTATTGTGAGTGTAGGAATATGCTAAACTTATCAAACTGTCGATTTTAAAGAATGTGTTCCTTTATGCACTTCAGGTGTGAGCTGGTGTTGGCTGGCCCTGGCTCATGGTGGTCCCATGCATGTTGGTGTGGCATGTTGCACAACCTGCTGCATCCCCGTGATCAGCTGTGAATCAGGCCATTTTCACCAGCTGAATTTTGGAAGTAGACTGCTAGACCTCTCTTCCTAGCCTCTCTTAGTCTGGAAGCTGCACTAACACCTGTTCAATATCATAGCAACCTAGATACCTGTGCTGGCAGGTACATGGTGGCTGTGCACAAACTGTACTGACTGGGAACTGAACCCAGCTCTCCTGTATGGAAAGTGGGATCCTACCATGGACCCACCAGGACCCTGATGCAATTTATTTTCTAACTTTGCTATGGAAATAAATTTTATTTTGTGATACAACACAACTATTGTAAACACATTTGAACAATGTTGTTGATGTTAAGTGCTGTCAAGTTGGTTCCAACCCAGCAACCCTGTATAAGGTTTCTAAGGAGCAGCTGGTGAGTTTGAATTGCTGACTTTCTGGTTCAAACTGACCTTGAGGTCCAGTGCTGTATCCCACAGCGCAAATCAGGACTCCCCTTTGACCAATACAAAGAACAAAGTCTCGGCCTGTTTATCCTGATGTCGAGGACATCTCTTCTATTGTTAGTTTGCAAAAAGGTTTGTTTATGTAAGGATGAACATCCAGCCTTGCACCACTGATTTGACATGCCATTTTTATTTAATACTAAATTTCTACGTACGATTGTGTTTCTAAAGACTATTCAACTCCATTAAACAAATGTATTTAAGTTTATATTTCTATACTCATATTAAGAATTAAACTGCATTTCTTTTCAATAAATAGTGTTACAGACCTGGGAAGCTAAGTAGAAACAAGCAAATAAATAATAAAGGAATTGATTTGTACTCCAAACAGCCTGGTAAACTTCAAATGAAACAGTCATGTGACCTGTACCACCCAGTCTTTGGCTTGACCTTTCACCTAAACACCTGAACTCAAGTTGGCCTGTGGTGTGAGTCAGACCCTGGTTGGAACCCATCCAGAAATGCCTTGGAAGAAGTGCCTGCTTATCTGTGCCCAATAAGTCTCTGTTATAGAAACCTTATGTAGTACAGCCCTACTCTGGAACACAGGATCACCAGGAGTTGGAACGGTCTTGATGGCACCTGGTGGTGGCGGAAGCTATGACTGCATTTGCAGCTTATTAGTTTAGCTAAATGTGATAAAGTCTTTACAGAGTTAAGGGTTCAGTTTAGTGTAACTGATTAAAGAATTAAAATTGGGTCCCAGTCATTCTGTATTTACTTGTGCATAGAACTTCATGAAGTGCAGGAGAGACTAGACTATCTTAAACAAAGCCTCTCTGTTGTTTGCGTTTGAGCATAGTTGTAGTATTCTCATGTTGATGTTTGGTAACCAACTGAAGATAACACTACCAAGCCGATTTTTATAAAGTCCTGTTAAGGTCTGAAATATTTGACATTTTGTAAGTAAGGTGGTCTCTGAAATGTTTGTGGTCAGTTTTACATATGTCCTTTATAGTTGAAATTCAGCTTTGGAACCACCTGAGACAATAGTTCCCAAACCTAGTTGATCATATCATTACAGTCTTGTAGTGAGATGTTGCCTTTATTTGCAGCATTTTTTTTGGCCTAGAAATTACCGTGGGGAATTTTTTTAATTGTCTTCATGGACTCCCATTTCCTGTGTCATGGCTGAGTCTTGTCTCTCTGTAGATTGGTTCTATTTTTTGTTTTCTGCCATAAATCTCTTTTTATAGATTGAGTTGTGTCCCTCCAAAATATGTCTCAACTTGGGCAGGCCATCATTCCCAGGACTATCTCATTATCCTCTATTCTATGATCTGATGTAATTCTATGCATTATAAATTCAAATCTATGATGTTAATGCGAGCCCTGGTGTTGCGCTGTAGGATAAACACTGGACTGCTAACCACAAGGCTGGTGGTTTACACTAGCCACTCCTTGGAAACCTTAAACAGGGTTGCTGAGTCAGAACTCACTCGACAACACTGAACAACAACCACAACAACAACCTGATGTTAATGAGGCAAGTTTGGAGGTGGTTATATGAATAAGACAGGATCTCATCTACAGGATTAGGTCGTATCATCAGTCAATCTCTTTTGTTCAAGTTTTCCACTTCATTCTGTGTTAGTTTAGATAGGTTGTGTTTTTCTAAAAATTTGTTCATTTCTTCTAGATTCTTCATTGTATTATGTTATTATCCTTTTTGTTTTCATTGATTCTGCTGTGATAGCACCCATATAGTTTCTTATGCATGCTAGTTGCATCTTTTTCTTTTGTTAGATTTGCCTAGGATTTCTCAATTTTATTAATCCTGTCAAAAAACCAACTTCTGGTCTTG